CATTTTTGATATTTTGAGAAAATCCACATGTCAACATACCATTGGAATGCAAGGAAATTTATTTATGGCTTTAAATATCTTTGGTTTCTTGTGCCAAACACTTAGTATACAAATATTAACCCTTTTAACATGTTTGAGTCAGAGTAACAATGTCACCAAATCTTATATGATGAATTAACTCTTAATCAGAAATAATAAATGTCCTATACTACACAGTCTTTGATCAAACCAAGTCTTTTCTAATGACTTATGAAATAAGGCAGAAAACCTAATGATTAAAAGGATGGGATGAAAGTGAAAGAATTAATTTTGTCAAGTGCCAAATTTGAAACTCTGGAGAACTAAAATTATATTCTTGTGGAAGCCACAATTCTAAAAGCCATTTGCTTGTTATACATTCCTCTTTCTGACGAAAAACAAATTTCCCCCTTCTATCTATTTTTTGTTACCTATAATTATTTCTTATATATAGATATCATTCCACAGGGCAGGGGGGACAGAGAAAGGGGAAATTGCGGCTTGCTGAAAATAAAATATCAGTTACTTATGGAATGGTAGGGTAGAGCTGATTGTGCAAGCTCTTTCTTTCAATATAAGGCAGCATGTTTGAAAAATCATAATCCAATGATCTAGAATGTAGTTGTAGTTCCATATAAAGTATTGATTGTGTTTGGTGGAAAAAAGGCACTAAATATCTTACACAGAAGTATAACACACAATAATGTATTGGTCTTGAACCTCATTCCTTGTGGGTAAAAAAGCCAGGCACTCAGCTTATGTAGAGGTGTATTTTTTGCTTTCCCCTGAAAGGTTGTTGACACTTGCGTTAAGGTATGAAATACGTCACCTTAGCATTGCACATGTAACCTGAGAACTTTGGAAATGATGAAATGCAGCATGTAGCTTTTCCCCTGGACATACTGAGTGAAAAGTAATTTGTTTTGATTGACACTTCACTGTTAAAATGTGGCACTTTACAATACAGAAAAACTGTTACAATAAATGGTTTCTTATACCTATGCTGCAAAACATGCTTAAACATGCAGATGCATTGTTACAAAATTTTTTATTCAAACAAAGGCTTGGAGGAAAAGCAATCAGAACACAACTGCATAGGGAAAGAAAGGCAAAATGCCCCACTGTTGGAACAAACTCTGGGAACTTTGTTTAAACAGTAAAGGAATTACTAGAACTTGCTGCTGAGGTTTTTCAGTGCGCAGGGACAATGCTTTCCTTATTCTGATACTAGAATTCCAGTGGCCATAGTTTGAATAATGTACAGAATGGATAGAGAGTAACAAAAGTCTTTCATGTGTTTCATTAAAGCAGAAAAAAAAACCCACCCAAGAAAAACAGCTGTATCATTTGAGAAAAATAACTGAGGAAAGCATTTTTTCCTCCCTTTAGTGAAAAGATTGTTTTCTTTGAAAAAGCCTTTGTTGACAGCCTCTCAAATTGCATTAAAAGTCCATACTTTTCTTTCTGGAAGAAGAAACTTGAATTAAGGTTATTTGGAGTTTCTGCTGTTGTAATCTGAAAGATTTTTTTCTTGTGTCAATAAAGGATGAATATGAAAGCAGAAGAGTCAGTAAATTCAGTTGTACAGTCTTTCTATAGTGCTAACTCTAATATGCAATTCCATTAATGAAAGAATGTGACCCCATTATACAATGTTATTTATTCTGTGAATTGTGTTACCAGTTTAGGGGCCATTTAAAACTCTGCTTCTCATGGCCTATCTGGTCCTAGTCAAACAAGAGAGTTCCGATATGTTAGGTTGCCCTCACAGATTCATTTAAGTACATGGATATACAGTATTTTGTAGAGAAGGTAAAACAAGCCTTGGGCTTATCTTCATGCTAATGCAGCTACTTGTCCCCTCACTCAGAGCTTCCTTGTGTCCAGCCAACTGGAATATATACTGGAGGCAAGAGAAAATACCTAGAGGCAAAAAAAAAAAAAAAAAAAAAAAAAAAAAAAAAAATCCACACTCCAGCTTTTATTTTCTTCAACATTTAGCTTTCTGGTCTCACTTTATTAGGATGATGATATAACAGTATCTTTGTGTATCTTAATTTCTGCAAGAAACAGTAGCATCGCTGCTCTCATAATAATGCTCACTTTTGACTGCTTAATGATGCAGATAAGTACTTTTCAAAAATCTGTGAATTCACTAACTCACACCATCCAAAAGAAAACTCATCTCTTTCAGGTGGACCATTGCATATTTTTTTATAGATTTAAATAAACCTGTGTATCATTCAGTGTGGCACTAATTTACTGCTTTCCTAAGTAACTGTAAAGGACAGGCTGAGTTGGACTTCTATTACTTTGGACAACCGTATCTGCCCCTGGCCACTGCTGATTTGATGTCACTAATAGACAGCTTTATGCAAGTGGGTAATGAGTGATGTGCAAAACATCGGAGTGTTCTGCAAAGCTGCCTTTCTTCACTTTTTTTTTTTTTCCCAAACTTGTATTTCTTACCAACTCAATAAATTTTAATTGGAATTTGAAATTTTGTCTTTATGGAGTTACAACACATTTATATAAATATTGTCAGTTCCAAATGGATAGAAAGGGAGAAAAGAAAATCACTAGGAGGTTAATTAAGGAATGGAAAAGCTTGTCTATGCAGGCTATAGAATCTTCACCCTTAGGGCCTTTTGAGACCAGGCTGGAGAGAGTACTAAGTGATGTGGTTGGATTTTAGTGCTGACCCTGCTTTGAGTAGAAGACTAGACTACAGATTGCTGCAAAAGGATCTCTTTCCTTTCTAACCTGAATGAGTCTGTAGTTCTGACTCATACTAGTATTACTAAAACACTTGCATTGAAATTTCTCTCTGTATAAGCAAAGTACTTAACCATGAATTTTGACACAAAACCACGATGCACTGCTGTTGAAGAACTCTATTGTTCAAGAATCTATAAATTTAAATCTTGGAAATTTTAATCTTGGAAAGTAAAAAGAAAAAAACATATTAGTCATCTATTTTGCCTGTTGACATGAGGGGGAGAGAAAGGGCAGGTTTTTTTTTTCTTTCTGCATCTTAGAAAAATCACATGCACAATTTTATCACCTTGACTTGCATGATACTTTGTTAAACCTCTGCTTTAGAGACGTTCATCTTCAGCAGCCTGGTCTGGCAGGGTGAAGAGACTTTAAAAGAGTTTTTCTCTTTCTTTGGGGGGGATTCTGTACTAGGAGGGATGAACAGCTATCAGATATCAGAATTATTTCAAATGAAATTGTTCTTGTAACTTGTTCAATGTAATTAAAAAGTACATATTTTTCTCAGACTTTTCTGAGCGGAACTGAGAAGTGTTTCTTAGTTCTGAAAGGAAAACATATTTGAAGTTATATAATTATTTCCCCATCTGGCGAATGATGTGCAGATTAATAATTGGAATGTACCTAGAGAACTAGAAGGAAACAGGGAAGTTTGGTTTGCCTACAAGTTTCACAGACCTGCTACATAAGTTGTCTGAAGTCATTACCCAGGAGTGAGCTGAAAGTCAGGCCAATTTAAACAGGATGCTGCAGAACAGCCACCACAGAATTGCTTTTGCAATCCTCATCCTCCCATCTGCTACAACTGCATGTTGACCAGCATATCCCAGAAAGTCTTCTGGACTTTATACAAACCGCAAGTCACACAGAGAGCTGGCTAGGCTGGTCAGTGTTACTTTTAAAGTTTTAACAGCCTTAGAAAAACCAGTACTGCTGGTGTTATCAAGAGGGAAAGTACACTGCCCTATTTGCACGCTATGTTAATTATTCCACCTGTTTCCAAGTTCATAGATATTTTCCAGCTTATCCTAATAACAGCAACAAAAATGCATTAATGGATCCTGTAAGAAATTGCTCCTAATTTTCTGCTTTTCTCCTAGATCCTTTTTAAAGATTGTTTTTCAGCCAACTCCTCCCCAAACTCATTTGGATGAACTTGGACTGTCATCTGATGTACTGAATGAGATCCCTGTGACCACCCACTATGGCCAGATCTTTTCCCAGATTGCCAGTGTTCAGTCATGAAATAAGCACAGCCTAAGACCCTCCAGGTGTACTGCACATATGGTGCCAGGTCCGTCGTGATTCTTCAAGAAACAGGAGCCTTGAAGACTTTATGGACTGAAGGCCTTGGTTTTTTTCTATTGAAAGCTGCAAGAAACAGCCATTCCCTATTCAGCAGGTACACTGCACAGCCTTCCAAACATGTTTTTTCTGTGGTGGTTTCAGTGCACCCCAGCGCAGGGCCTGCAGGCTCTGCACAGCGGCATCGGGCGAGTGGCTCTGTGGGACCCACAGCCAGTGGCAACAGTGACACAGGCACGTGGTGCTTTTGCCAGCCAGCAAACAGCTAATTAGATGCGCTAAAACCTGACATTTCATCAGTCAAGGTTGGGGATTCCCCCCCCTTTTGAGATCACAACCTTTGCCCTCCGAAGCAAGGCAGGGTTGGAGCAGCCCTTGTGGCTGCAGTGGTTACTGGCTGCGATCTGCCTCTGTCCTCACTGCTCGCCCTGGGATCCGTCCCAGGTTGTCATTGGGGCTGTGCTCCACCCACACCGCCTGCCTTGCCCAGACACCAGGGCAGCAGGTTAATGACTGTCCCAGTGAGGTGTCAGTAGCTCGCTGGTCCGTCAACTCTCTTCAGCTTAGAATTTTGTCTGAGGACAAGCTCTGAACTGTTGGGGCGGGAGGGTTTTGTCTCACGTTGGAGCATCCTTTGGGACGTGACTCGGGCACGCCGTGTGCGTGAGGGGCATCCTTTGGGACGTAACTCGGGCACACCGTGTGTGTGAAAGGCATCCTTTGGGATGTGACTCGGGCACACCGTGTGTATGAGGGGGCACACGGTCCCAACCGAAGGGTCCCGGTCCCGCCGCGCAGCTCCGCCCGACTCCCAGGGCTGTGTCAGTGTCGCGAGACTTGAGGCCTCAGGCCCCGCCTCTGCTCTCGCGCGAGTTGCCCCTGCGCGCGCCGCCCGCGCTGCGATGGCGCGCCGGCTGTGGCGGAGCTGCGGGCGGGCGGCCGGGCGTGTCCCGGGGCTGTCCCGCGCACTCCAGCTGGTGTCCGGTCAGGGGGTGTCCCGGGGGCTGTCCGCCGCACTCCAGCTGTGCCGGTCAGGCTGTCCGGGTGCTGTCCGCCGGCACCCAGCGGTGTCCCGGGTCGGGAGCTGTCCCGCCGCACCGGCGGTCGCGGCGGGGGGCGGACGCTGCTGTGCGGCACCTGCCCGCGAGCTGACGGCGGCCGGAGAAGGACGGATCTGCTGCAGCACTTTGGGGCGGTGTCTGTGGCTCCTGTCAGGACCACGGGGGCTGGTGATGGCTGGGCCCCCGGCACGCGAAGCGGGCCCGAGCGGTGTGGCCGGGCGGGAGCCCGCGGGGAGGGCGGGAGAGCGGCGGGGCTCGGGGTACCCCGGGCCGCGGCTTCGGCCTCGCTGGCTCTTAGCGATGGGCCTGTGGAAGAGCAGTGCAGAGGGGCCTCTTGCAGGTGTAGGGGCGCACTTTCACAGGTGTGTCTGTAGAAATCTCTTATTTGATTTTTTTCTTTTTCCAAGTTAAAAAAACACGAGCGTATCTGTTTGGTGACAGATGCTGTTCGGAAAGAGCCTTGTATTCCTGCAGAGCTACAGATAATTGATGTCTGCATCTTCTGTCAGGGTCGTGCTTTCTTTATAGGATATCAGAAATACTGACTTTGTTACAATCATTTTGGGTACCAAATCACGTAGTGGCAAGGTGAAGTAATAAAGTTTGTTAAAACAAATATAACTTTGAGATGAACTGTGTATTCTGTGAGGCTTTGATTTAATTTGAAAAGCTTGCATCCTTTTAAAACCTAAAAAATAGAGGAAAATTAGTTAGAAACCATTCAAAGTACAACAATAGTTACAACTTTTGTAGCAGGAATAGTATTTTGGAAATTGCTTTGATGAAAATGTGTTACTGTGAGGTGAAATAAATTTCTTGTTTGAAAAGAGGATTAGACCTCTTTATCCATATGTACTTTTTTGCAGTTTAGGATGGCTTTTGGTTATAGAAAAAAAGCTTTTCCTGTGTTCCTCAAGCAACTGAGTTCCTGTCTTGATTTTTGACTGCAGGAGGTTTATATCTTAAATTCTTAAGAAAAATGTTTTTTAGTCCTTCACGTTTGCTCCATGTGGGAGTTAGGTGACTACTGTCTGGAAGCTTTCAAATATGTAAGCTTGAACTTACAAATTTCTTGTGGACATATATTTTACATTCAATCTCAACTTTTTGAATGCAGTATAATGTATATATATTATATACAGTAATTTTTTTTGCTTGTTTTCTAGAAACATACTGCTTTTGCCACCTTTCCCAGTGAAAATGCAGCTGCAAAGGTTTGTATTGAGTTTGTTATTGAATGGTTTGGCAAAGCACTTTTCTGGATTGCCAGTTGTGCTCTAAAATGTTTTGCATGTCATCTAGTACTCAGTGCTAGAAAAAACAAGGCAGCACAATGTAGTATTAGAGTTCTGTTTCAGGATTTGCTTGCAGGACTTGATGAAATGAACACTTCAGTAGATACCTAAGAAAGATGAATTGAAAATTGCTTGTGGAAGTCATCTGATCCAACCTTTCACATAGATCATGGCAAACTTAGAGGAGCTGAGACTGTCAAGGATGTATGTGCATTTATATACAAACTAAACCAAACCTAATTTTCTTGTTTCCTGCATAATTACGTATTTGCCATAAAATTCCCTAGTGACGTACACAGTTCAAGGCTGCCTTGAATGCCAACTTTGATAAGAAAACTACCACATTAGTGGGAGACTTAGATGCCAGAAAGGTAATGCTAATAATGCTTTTTAAATACTAGTCTGCTAAAAAGCCTGTGTCTAGAACTTCCGCCTTATGCCCTGGTGTTTGGGTTTTGGTTTTTTTGCGTTGCTTCTATTTTTTAGGCTACATTTCAGAGGAGTACTCAAAAAGTTACAAAGACTGTATGAGGTGAACAGTGGTGAATTAGGTTGCTTGTGTCAGTTGTTAGCAGCCTGTTGTGTTCTGGACTTGCAGAATGCTGGATCTTCTTACTGTTACTTTTAAGAATCTTGATCTTAAAATTCCCAGCTGTTACTAGCGGAATTCAGTATGTTCGTAGTTTATGAGCAAGAGGCTAGTTACTTGAAATCACAGAGATGTACTAGTCTGTGTAATAAGTATCACTGTTGAGGCTGCAGTTCTGCCACTGTGTTCAGATGACCTGACTCTGCCGTGGTTCTGGCTGTGCAACCTTGTCTCTTCCTGCCAGCAAGAAAGAGGTGCTAAAAGCAGGGCTGTTCAGGCAAACACAGTGCAGGACTGCCTGTGTCCATAGTGGCACAGACTGAGCTTAAAGCAGTCGGGACTGCATCCTATGGCTAATTTACCAATCAAAGGAGAAACAGTTATGCTTTAAAATGATTCTCATGTTTTTCCTCTTCCTTTTCTTTCTTTTCTCCACTGTAATTACTTGAAGGCTTTATCAAGGCTGCATCAGCTGAAACTTTTAGGTCACACCTTGGTTGTTGAATTTGCGAAGGAGCAAGAGAGTGTACAGGCTCTTAGCCAGCCTTCTGTCTCAGAGAAGTGTAAAAGGTATGTGCGTAATATAGTTATGATTGTGGTCAAGGAGAGGAAATTTCATATTCATGATACTTTGGTAGTCCTTTTAACTCAAAGGAAAAATTGTAACCACAAAGAAGTGTTAACAAGGAGGTTCAGATCCACAGATAAGTGACTGCGTTCCTCACATTAGACCTGTGTCATTACCTCTGGAATATGTAACTAAGTGATAAAAGCTATGTGATAGTGTTTAATTAAAACAACTGTAGTAGAGGTTTCAAGTTACTTAGAATATGAACAAATCAATAATTTAGTACCTTTGAATTTATACAGTCTCTGAACAGCATGAAATCATTTTAGTTCTTTTCCTATGAGTAGATTGAAGTCAGGAGTGTTTTAATATAGGGAGGCTTACTTAAATCTGCATAAGTACTTATTTTAGAAGACTGTGGCTACAATAATTGTCCACATGTATTAATTCTGAAGCATTGATAATGGCTGTAGTAATACCATTGATAAAGATGTTAAAAATACCTGTGTTAATCAATTTCTAGTATTAATAGATGATGCCTATTTTGTATACTACATGAAGCATTTAAATTTAGCCCTCTTTTAATTAAGATTAAATTAATTTTCAGTTCAGAAGAACCAGTGAAAGAAGAAGAGAAGGTAGAACCAAGCTGTGTTAAAATAGAGAATGGAATTGCACCCAACCATGGGTTAGTGTTTTTTTTATTTGTCTTAGTTATTTTATTCTGTTACAGGTTATTTTGAAATGTGTTATGTACTGTTGAACAATAGTTTTGTTTTCTAGTATGCTACTATTCCACAGGCATAGCTGTAGGAATTGTCTTAAAGATGAAGTTTCAATTCCTCCAGTTTAGAATCCTCACAGTCGAGTAGTGACTGGTGCTTTGAGCCATGAAGTTGTGGATTGCACAGTAGCCTTCTAGCACTATGCATTGTTTTCTCAGGAGGAGTCTGAGGGCTGGGTAGGTTGTCCCAGTGTTAACAGCAGAATACTACTGATTTTTGGTTTTCCAGATGCCGCTGCTTCTTTCCTGCCCCCCCACCCCAGCCATTTGCATTTTTGCACACATGAACAAGTTTTTTGGAGGCTAGTAAATTCAGCACTCTGAGTATTGAGTTTATGATGTTGGCACAGCCTGCTATGCTGTGCTTTTGGTTTTGGATGCTTTGATTGTTTCTAGGTACTTAGGCTTTCTGCTTAGGTTGATACTTTCATTGTGCCCAGCCCAGTAAGTCTGTCATGCACTGAGGCCTATTCCCTGGTGTTAAAGTCAATGTAAGGGGCCCAAAGCTGTTCTTGGGGAAATAATAATATTTCAGTGTTGCTTCAGATGTAATGAATAGTTAAGCTTCTAGTAATCATTAAGTGTTACCAGTGGCAGTGGTGTTAAGGTGTCTTGTTTTTTTTCCTCAGCCTCACCTTTCCCATCAATTCCTGCCTCAAATATTTGTACCCACCACCTTCAAGTGCAATTCTGGCCAATATAGCAAATGCCTTGGCAAGCGTGCCCAAATTTTACGTCCAGGTAAGTAAAAAACAGGAAACAAAATTAAGTATAAAAATCAAATCTTATTTTTCCTCTTTCAGTTATGCACAGAAATAATTTTTTTTGTCATAGTAAATAATAAGTTACTTTTTCTGTGACAGTGTTAATCAATCTTAATTTTTTACCATGTTGAGATAATAAGATTTTATTGACCAGAGATAGCTTACTAAAGACTTAACTGGATATGCTCTTCCTAATTAGATGTGACTTGAGTACTTTGGAATTTCAATTGAGAAGATGCTTTGCTTTTCTGATTAGCCTTTTTAGGGTGTTGCTTTTATTTACCATTAGTATGGCGTCTCAGGTGGAGGCTTTCACATTGTTCATTAACATTAAAACTCTACTGATTTACAGCTGCCAGAAGTTACTGGCTATGATACCTAGCAAGGAACTGTTGTCACTTATTTGTTTAAGGAAACCTTGCTTATTTTGAATAATTTCAGGTACTTCATCTAATGAATAAAATGAATCTTCCTCCACCCTTTGGACCGATTACTGCTCGCCCTCCCATGGTAACTTTTTAAATATATGTTTTAAGTACTGTAGAAGTGATTCACAATTTAAAATGTCAGTAATATGGTAGGAGATCTAAGTTCTAAAAGCTGGAGAAATCTCTAGAGGATAGCAAATACTGCTGCATTTCACTGGGTACAGTGTGCATGTTGGTCTTCTAAAGAAATCTTTTTGACTGTACTTAGAACAAATAAATACACATATATGACAGTAGCACTAGAATGTTTCAAACTGTTGGCTTGCTGTAGAAACTGAGATGGCTTTGGAGCTTAGGCCCCCACCTGTATTTTTTGACTATATTCTTCTCAGGAAAGTCCTTAAAGCTGAGTGCAAGGTGAAAACCCAGGACCATGGGTTTGCCATATTTCTTATCACGTCAGCTTAAAAGAATTAAAACATTCACTGTTATGCTTCAGAAAGCAGCAACATTTTCTTTTTGGTTGTGGAAAGTTTTTCATTAATAATGTGGTTTACCAATACAGCATCTAGATCCCTATAAGCATACTTTGAGAAAATGCTTCTTCTCATATTATAATTTATTGCTTTGACTGTTTTTATTAAGTAAAGGAAAAGAAGGTACACACTTTTTTTTTTCTTACAAAGTTTAGATACTTTTTTAAACTTTTTCCCCATAATTAGTATGAAGAGTATTTACCAGTGCCTGTGCCACCTCCCCCAATCCCACCTCTGCCTCCTGAAGAGCCTCCTTTACCTGAAGAGGAAGAAGAGCAACTGTCTAGTGGGGATGAATCGGAATATGAAAGTGATAATGATGAGGAAAAGGAGAGGTATGTGTTTTGCAGTCATTTGCAAGCTTGTGGGCTCACTTAAAGTGGTGGGTGCCTTTACTCTTCTAGCTTCTGGTTCAGTAAGTGGTGAAATCTCTCTTAACATTTGCAATACATAGATATAGTATCTAGTAGATAGTATATAAAAATCTTTCTAGGTGCTTAGAGAAACTCCAGATCAACTTAATAACAGAAGGACAGTGCTGTTTTAAATGCAGTAAGAAAAGGAAAACGGCCTATTGGTGTGCAATTTATCATTTGTTCTCATGTCAAAAAACCCCCACAGTGCAGTTACAAGGAAGCATTAGTTTGTTTTTTGAATTCTTCATTGTTCCATATCTTTACTGAATTAACTACTCAGCCTAAATCGTATATTAATAATTGGAGGTTGTATGCTGACGATGCTCTTGCAGTTTTGAGACTAAATTGCATCATAGGTGTGGGATTTGTTTAATCTTTAAACTCATACTAAAATTAAAAAAACAGGTTTTTTATTTGCTATTCAAACTGAAAAGTAAATCAGAAAGTCATTATGCTTTATTCAGAAAGAGACATGCATTTGGAAAAAGGCACTCCTGTTGAGTGAAAATTGTGTTATAAATTAAGGTTCAGCTTGGGGTGTCACAGCTTTCCTTACAGCTTCAGTGTCCTAATTAGGAGCATGCTTGGGGAAGGAAAGGGCATCATTGACCTCATTACAATTATAGATTATTAGTGTAGTTTCATTTTTAAGGTACCTAGTTTTGTAATCATATTCTGGAAAGTTCTATTTCAAAGGCTTTAAGGAGAGGAGAAGGGTTTTCATAATGAGTATTTTCAAATAAACTGTAAACCACTTTGTTTTGGTTTGTTTTTTATTTTTGTTAAAATAGAATGACCAAGTTGATGGAATTAGCAACCCTTCAACCTAAAAGACCGATAAACACAAAGAGACGAGGTGTTAGAAAAAAGCAAAGAATTAAAGACTTACTGAATGTTCCTGTGTGTACTCCCCACAGGTTTGTATTTTTTCTGTGTTTTTTTTTTACTTTTTCAGAAGATTACTCCTTTTACTAAATTGTGTTCTCTGCATCATGTTTGCTTTAGTGTTGCTTTTTTAAAACAAGCATTCTTCACTGATAGCTGAATTTGGCAGATGAAGGGAAGATGGTCTTCCCTTATCCTCATGCTTGGTTTTATTGTTCAAAAAGTCCAGATTTTCCTGTAATTTGAACTAAAGTCTGCTCAACTACCTTAATCTGTAAAGTGTACCTGTTCAAGCTCTGTATTTCTCTTGCTATCAAACTAATAAAAATTCCTTTTCATAAAAAAATAACTAATTTTGTATCACAGCTGTGACAGAAGCAATATGGGTCTTTTTTTTAAATACTTATTAAAATAAAAAGTTATAATAAAATTATTATACTGGACTTGGTTTAAGATAAGTTTGGTTTTTGGAGCTGCAGTTCTGTGGCACAGTAGTCACCAGTGTAGTATTTCTGTGTGGTGATGAGTGATTGTGAATGCATTTTTCGTAATAGCCACCTGCTTCCTCCAAGTGATTTGCTATATTTTTTTAAAATGTGGTATATTTTTTTACACTAGGTGAGAACAGCAGCAAGGCCAGTTATTTTTCATATTTAAGTAACTGCTAAAGTTTTTAATAAATGCCTGTTTGTCTTGTAATGTGGTATGTGGTATGTATTCTTGATTTTGCTCCCACTGCCAGCAATACCTACTGTATTTGTGTTCTGATCAACTTGAACTGTGTTGGGTGAGATTTATGAAATGGAGAACACATGTATTTGTGGTAAACAACAGCATAAAATACATCTGGAAGAAATCTTGTATTTGAATATGCATTCACCAGTGTCTGAACCTTTAATTAACATGTTGTTGTTTTAAACAGTAATTTGCACCCTACACTGTCACCTTCAGATGTCTTTGAGCAGCCACATCATGTAGGTCATAAAAAAATAGAGTTTCATATTAGTACTGACATCCCAGCTGTTCTTCAGATAAACTCAGAAAAAGAAGAAAAAAATGGTAAGACTTTGTACTTCCAATGTATTTAATACTAAAATCATCTGGGTTCAATGTGTAGAAAGGTGCTGAAATTTAGGCCAGGAAATTCTTTTCTTCTTTTGTACTGGAGCTTTCAACACCAAGTTGTGTCATGTTTGCATTTGCTGTTTTTCCCATGTTACAAGCTTTGTAAAGGATACAGAGGATTTTAAAGGTCTCTTTCTCTCCTATGTGCTCTGTAGGTTTATGGTGAATTGCACTGCCTTTTAAATGTTAAGATGTTTTTAGCAAATGTTACAAATGCATTCTCAGTACTTTATAGTGTAAATGAATATATCAGGCTAATTTCAGATTTTCCTTTTCCAGCTCTTAGAGAGCAGCATCCAAGTGATTGCCAAGTCCTTCTCTGTGGTGCACTGATTATCTGCTATAATAGTGCTGGGTGATAATAGCAATGAGATGTGATGGTTTTTTATAGGGTTATGGTCAGTCTGTGTTTCTTAGTACTTTATAGTAATATTCAGGTTTTTTAAATCAAAATTAGATAAACCATTGAAAGGAATACAGGCTTGAGCAGGAAGGCTTGTTTTATGCTAACTAGCATGTGCCATGGCTTTTGTTTGTAGTACATTGGGTTTTATAGGACCATATAGAGCAGATGCTTTTGTCAAACCAGGGATTAAGACTAATTTTCTAAAGGATGTGTTCAAATTGCTTTACAAAGTCTACTATATTAAAATATTACTGAAAGGAGTATACTTCTTTTGCTTGCTCTTGATCCTCTTGTGAATAAACATACAAACTGCTTAAATAATGTGTTGAAATTTCAGATCTTTCTGCAACCAGAGAAGAAATCAATAATACAGGCTTTGGAAGGATTTTCCCAGCTCCTAGCTCAAATGATAAAATGGAAACTGAAGAGGAGGATGATGAAATACCATCAGAATTTATTTCTAGAAAGGATCTAGAAAAAAACAGACTTTCTAGAGAAGGTATAACTGAGAATGTATTATCTAGTAATACCTTTTTGATTTGTTGAAACAAATAGTTTAAATAAGTAATTCCTTTCTTAGTTGATGATAAGTTATTTTATGTACTGAGCAAATATGCGAAGTAAACGAACTAAAACAGTCTCTATTTTTTCTCTTCTTTAAGAAATGGAAAAATTTTCTGTTTTCAAAAACTATGAACCAGGTGATCCAAATTGCAGGATCTATGTGAAGAATTTAGCTAAACAAGTCCAAGAAAAGGTAGGTAAACAAGCAAATCAAATATTTATCCAAAAGGGCTTTTTCTTAGCTTTTCTCTTATACCTACACTTTAATTTCAGGATCTCAAGTTCATTTTTGGAAGATACGTTGACTTCCAGTCAGAAGTGGAACGAAATATGTGAGTTCATTTGGTACTTGGTTAGATTTAAGTTTCTTATATTATCTTCTACGATACTGTTGAAAATTGTGATTTTAGAACTAGTCATCGTTTTTTATGTTTCTACATAAAGAAAAAATGTGTTTCATCTGAAAATCTTCATTTATCTCAAGTACAGAAATAGAATTGTTTTATGAACAGTGTAGATGATTGTGTGTATCTGGTCATTTTGCATGTCCTATTTAGTAGTACTGCACACCAATTTGCCATCCTGCAGTCCGATGTTACTTTTTAGTAAATGGTTCCCCCAGGCAAAATGGTCTCCAAGGACATCATTCCTACTTGTAGGCTTTGCTCCTGTTTCTGCTATTTCTCCAATTTGATGCATGAGAATCACATTTTTACTGTGAAATATGAAAGTTTTGTGAAACCTGAGTAATTCCCAATTCTCCATTTTGCCTCTAGGTTTGATATACGTTTGATGAAAGAAGGCCGTATGAAGGGACAGGCTTTCATTGGACTTCCTAATGAAAAAGCAGCTGCTAAAGCATTAAAAGAAGCAAATGGATATGTCTTATTTGAAAAACCCATGGTGGTTGTATCTTTTTCTTCAAACATTTACATTATATTCTTTGTAATCTGTCCTTCAGTCTCTTGTTTTGCTGTCATAGTGTTCTACAAAAAAGGAGACACAGAAAACCAGTCAGCATAACACAGTGTACTATTGTTAGTTTTATGGTAGCTGAAAAAAAATAGAGGCACCTCTTCTAAAATAGGAGATTAAAGGTGATAATATTAAGACAATAAGATTCTCTGGTCTTACCTCCAATCCTGCAAAGACAATACAAAAAATAATTTAGCTTGTATGACCTCTGTATTTAAATTAAATACAAGCTTTTTGACTTGGTTGGGCCTATGTTTGCAGAATTAAGAACATAAGAAGTGTTCCTATTGGGGTCAGTTGTCTCTGTTTACACTGGGTCTCCAGCTGGAACTGTCACTTTTTAGTTGCATGGCACTGTTTTTTGTTGTAAATCTTTCCTTATTTTTCACTTGAATGTTTCATAGTTTGTTTCATTTTCTTTGTGCTCACATTTATCCCAACCTCTGTTCCTTTTACCTTTTTTCCTCCTAAATTCTGAGACATCAAAGTTACAGAATTAACACGCTGGGATGGAAGATTGTAGATATCAAGCATTTATCCGTCTGTAGTTACTCTGCACCAAACCTATTTCCAGTTAGTTTTCCTTATTTACTTAGTACTGCAAACTCTTGGACAGTCTCTCTTAATAACTTTAGTACTGTGTAATGGTGAGGTCCTAATCTTTGACTAATGGACACTACTGTTATAATACTTTATACTGTAGTAGAATTGATTCACAGGTAAAGATCACTTTCTAGACTGTGATTTGCAGAAGTAATCTTTTTTTTTCTTCCTGATTGGCTTCTACGTATCACAGACACTTGTAGTCCTTAACAGAATCTCAGCAATTTGCTCGTTCAGCTAGACCAAAACAGGATGCCAATGAAGGGAAAAGGAAAAAGTAGAACACTGCACAAGGTATGGACTCTCTGCCTGAAAATAAAAATAAATAATCAGGCCTGGATTTTTTTTGTTAGCGTGTGCGTTTGTTTGCTTTTATGTAATATCTCTTTAATGGCTTATTTAGGAATACTGGGAAACATTCCATACAATTTTCTTTTCTTAAATGTGTGCTTATATGAGGAAAGAGTGCAAGGTATATAGTTGGTGTAAGTTTAAAACGTTGCTTCTTCCTCTGTTTAACAATTCGGAGACTGACATTTCACTGCTCCTGATCTCATAGGGTACCTGTCAGTTTCTCTGATCCTTAATCTGGGGAGCTAAGGAGAGTAATTATGTGGAATTGGACCACTTACCTTTTAGTAATCTTCCAGGGTTTTGGTATTGAAAAGAGTTGCCTCTTTACAATGGTAGGGATGGAAGGGAAGGAGTAAAGTGATGCTGAAGAACTGGTTCCAGCAATGAACTTCTGCTAGCTGTAAAGGACCTTTGGCTTTGCTAACTTTGGAAGATGAGATCTTAGTGCTGTTGCAGCATCCTTTAAACTTATCTGAATTAGTGAAGGATTTTCTGTCAGAATATGCTGCTTAATGCTGCATTAATCAAGACTTCCTTTGTGGAATGCGCAGGTCCTGATTTTTGGCATTATTATCCCATCATAACATGTTGGGAAAATAACTTATAGCAGAAAGTAATTGCTATTATTTCTTATGATGTAGCTTTACTTCACTACTGCTTACTCTATTTCCTTTTAACTCAAGCGAAATGAGCTCTAATTTAACTGTGATGGGTTTCATGGCCTGAAAACATTTGCATAGTGAACTCTCAAATTCTCATGTGAAGTAACTGATGCAAGAATAAGAAGCACTCAGTTCTCAAGCTGTACTCTCTGATAGATCAAGGTCAAATTTAAAGGGCATTGAACTTAATCACTGGTTACAGTTGGGGATTGCTCTGGGTAAGCCACCACTTAAGACAAAATGAACTCAAATCTTAGGCTGAGTGCTTATGAAGCATTCTACTTAATCCATGATGTGTTTTTAATCTGGAGGTTTGATTCTTGTTACTTTGAAGAAAACATGAACTTTGAAATAAAGGATGTGAACAGTTGGTTTTGATTTTTACAAATTGGTTGGAGACCCCACAGAATGGTTATTATGAGGGTAGTATTTCTATTTACAACAGTTATGTTAATTGTATGTTCCTTGTTGTATCAATTGTCCTAAGGATTTCTTAATCAGATTATGTTTGAGCTTGTTTCCCTCATATCTGAGATACTACTTGGTCTTAGAAGTTCCTGTTTCGTACAACTGATTGTGGTTTGCAAAATCTATATTTTGTAAAATTAAAAGTAATTTTTTTTACAGGCATTCTGTATTGGTCATTGAAAACAGAGAAATGAGCCGTGGCTAAAGTATCTTATTAGGAACAAGTGTTGTTGAGACAGTTTCAGTCTTGTTTCCTACTCCTGCTTTGTTAGCAAAAACTTGTATTTATATTTTATCTAGCATCTAATAAGAAGATTACTAAGTGTCTTGATATTCAAAAAAGAAACTTGAAACATTTTAGCTATTGGAAAGCCTGATAGATGAAAACTGAGCATTTTTATTCTTTTTAGGAATTCCATGTCTTTGCAACTGATTTTGTACATTAATTCTGAATTCACTAAACTTGATAAAAACTTGAATTCCATGAAGAAACTAACAAAGTGCTTACTTGGTTATTAATTATGATGATGGTCAACTCAGAAGCATTTTTTAGAGTGAACAAAAACATACTATGCAAGACTTAATTGTGCACTTGAAAGTCTGACCTAAATTGCCATCTTGCAGGTGTCATTGGTTTAATGTACCATGGGCAGAACTGCTCCCTTAGCTTGACTGTTTGTACATAGCAATCACAGAATGTTTAGAATGATACAGATTTGTAAGGATCCATGAGGTTTAGTTGAAAATATTTGTTTGATTTCCCAGCTAATGATGAAATGGAACCCTATTTCTGCATGACTATGTTTTCCTTTTCCTACTGGAACATTCTGGTGGATGCTGATTTATGATGCAAAATTCCATTATAGAAATCTGAGTCTGGTTTTGTGTTTCATGGGGTTTTTTGTTTGTTTGTTTGGGGTTTTTAAAATTTCCTCTATAGAGATTTTATCCTTTGTGGAGAAGATAATACCTATGGTTTATAAAAATACTATGTAAGTCCTCGCTGGCTGAAATATCTTTCTTGATTGACTGGCAAAAAAGTTCAGTTAGTATTTGGGGTGACTATTTTTCCTGTAGCTAAAATACAACTTTTTGGGAGAAAGGTTATGTAGAAGAAACTGATGCTGAGACTTCTCCAGCTTCTTCTTAGGAAGAAGTGACTTGAAAGCCAGCATTAAATGGAAATGTGATTGGGTTTTGGACCTGATGGGGAAAAAAAAAAGTGAGTCTGTGAGATGGCAAAGACTTGAAGGAGAATTATGAAACAGAAAAATCTGGTGGTATCCTAGTAGTTCCAGTTACAAAAAAATGTATTTACTTTTGAATATGGAGTTTAGTGTTGGTGGATCCATCAACCCTCTTTAAATCTCATAAGGTGTCAGAACTGTATTTTATCAAACAAGCATATTTGCTTTTGATAGGTAGCATAAAGTTATGTGTCTGCAATACTGAGAATCAAGTAAAATTAAACCACATTCTGCTGTTCTTCTTTAGAAACATTCCTGCGTAAATACTGCAGTAATACTGTCATGCAGAGTGTATCCTTTCTTGTTGTATCCTTTTTTTGTGCAATGTTTCCCGTAGCACTCAACTACATCTAAGTTTTCTTATAGAGTAGGTGTGGGGAGGAGTTTACATGTTTAAAGCTTGAGCTAATCTGGTAATTTTGAAAAGCAAAAGATGCTTTTTCAGGGGGAAAAAAGAAATCAATGAGTTTTCTGTGTTGTGTGAATAGACACATTAAAGGTTCTTAGTCTTAAAAGGTGGCCTCCACCTTTTTCCTCAAAGATCATATACCTTACTAATTTGTGGTCCCATTCCTTAGTGAAACAGTTCTAGCTCAAACAAGCTGATGTGTGTGGAGCTGTGCTGAGCTCACACTGAGGGTGTCACTTTGTTTTTCTTTAAATAAATATTATATTAATATGTTGGCTAAAATATGTTGCAGAGCAATTCCTAATATTAAGGGGTTGACAGGTATTTAGATCATTTGATGATTACTGTTGTCCTGGTATATGAGAAACAATGTATAGTTGATTCAGTTTATACATTCCTTACTATGTCTTTTTTGAGTAAAGAAAAAATTAATAATAACTTGCAATGAAGCATTTGAACTAATACTCAACTATTAATCACTGCTACCTTTTGTTGGTGTTTTTTTTTTTTAGATTGTTCTCTGCACTGAGGTAGTGTTGTTGCCAGTGACTTAATTTTCTTGTGGGTTTCATACTACATTACTACTTAACTTTCTGTAATTTAAAATTAATACAGCCTGCATCTATTAAGTCATATTTTTTTCAGACATTAAGCACTTCTTAAAAGACTTTAACATCTTTCAGTTTAGTTGTCAAAACAAAGTATAACAGTGCTGTTTGCTGTTTGTTCTTACTTTTAACATGCCTTTGTGATGTTCCAGGTCCCTTTTGTGTTCCATCTCTTTCAAGTATTATCAAGCTGGGGGAAGAAGCAGTGTAATCATCAGGACTCTTGAACTGTGCGTAGTAGCGTTTCTAAAGTATTTAAGGCAGACTATAAATTGGCAGACTATAAATTTTCTCGTCTTAAAGATTCCACATCTTTAAAGTGTCACAAGACTTACATGATAAATGTATGTTAGTTTGCTTGTGAAATCTAATAAATTATTTCCTTTCTCTTTGTTTTGCCTTTCTCTCTTCATTTTGGCTTTTATTGTGGGGTTTTTGAGTTGGGACGGATCTTTTTCCTGTCTTGGAACCAGCAGGAGGACTAGTGCACCGACATGAATTTGTACTGTGAAATTAGGCACTGTTTTACTCAGTAATTAACTTCCATTGTTCACCTGCATCTTGAAAAATGTCAGTAGTGAGACTGAAGTCATTAAAACAACAGTAGCGGTTAAAGCAGTGTTAAACCTGTGTAAATGCCCTGTTGAACTGTGATTAATAACAACAAATGCTATGGAGGTCACATAGTAGGATTTCTTACATATTTGGCAGATTACTCTAACTGTCTCAAATCATGTGGGAAACATTGAAATGATGTTTACTTGGCAATAGGGAGTCCAGTCTAGTGGACTTAAAGTTATTCCATAAAATACTAAGTCATGGTTGATGGTCTAGTAACTAGCTCGTGTAAAAGATTTATTTTGTCATCATTCCAGCTGCAAGCAGTCCAAATCACTAGTTATAATGGCTGGACCAAAGTAAGTGTATCTTTGCTGGTTCTTTTCATATGAATTGGCTTATCATATTACTATAAAATGCTTTTACTGGAATTCTTTTTTAGCTTATTTGTTACATTCCCATGTGGACTGTGTAGTTGTTTGTTAGTTCATCTTACTTGGTTTTGGACGTGTAGACCAGGAAAAATATACTGAGAGAAGTTTTATGAGAGTGGCTGAAGGGTTTATGATGCTTAGAAGTGAGAAAAAAGTAGCTTAATTTTTTTTGTGTGTGTTCTGTGGCCATTCCATTATGAATAAAGCTAAGCTGTATTTTTGGTGGGGTTTTAATTATTAAAGTAAAATACAAATAAAACATGATGTCCACCATCTTACACTCATAAACTATCAAGGAAACTTTTGCAGTCTTGTTGAGAGAATATTTTTTTGGAAGTCAGGAGGAAAAACTTTCATTCCTTTAAGTCAACTGGGTTTTTGTATACCTATTTCTGCTGACGGTTTGTATTTGGGGCTTTGTTTCTATGGTTCTATGATAGTGTGTCCTGACACCCGTGTTGAGCTACAAGTACAGGACCAAGTTATTAAAATAGTGCATAAAAGGCCAGCAAGTGAGTTTTCAAAGCAGTGAAGTAGGGTAACAGCAAGGTGGTGCTGTGCTCAAGGACAAAAGTACTTTTTTAAGGCATGCAATAACTGTATATCCCTAGAGCCTTCCCTTCCCAAATCTCAAGAATATGTTCCAGACTATAATCTTATATTGAATCGACATCATCGTGTGTAATATAAAACTTCTAGATATTTTCTCCTTTAGTGTTGCTAGAGTGGCTTTGACATACAAAGTAACTAATGGAGTTAGTCATAGAAAAATGGTTCTTTTATCTGAGAATGGACAAAACCACAACTAAAGTAAACAGTTTTATTTGGTCATCTATATATAACATGTAAGGACCTTCTGCCAGGAGCTGCTAGTTCGGTAGGAGCTGCAGTGTTTGGCCTACAACAGGAACAGTAGCAAGGCAAGCTACTTTAGGAAACCAGTGGCCAACAAAACTAGCATTCCAGGGGAAAGAAAAGCAAACGAACGAAATCCCAAATAGCGATCCCCAGCAGAGACGGGTATACGGAGGCGGGCTCGGCTCTTCCCCGGGCTCTGGCGCAGTTGTGCGGGCCCGGCTCGGTCCCGGCGGAAGGGGCGGTGCTGCGGGTGCGGGACTGGGGCCGGCCCAGCACGTACGTACGGGGTCCCGGGGCTCCGCCGCTCCTCTCGGGGTGTGCGCGGCCGGGGGAGCTCGGGGAGCAAGGGGGCCTGGCCCGGCGCACTCGCGGCCGGCGGCGCTGCCCTGCCGGGCCCTGGAGGAGCGGCCGAAGCGGGGATTGGTTCGCCTGTGCGAAACACCGAGCTGGGGAGGGGAGTCCTGTGGGGAGCCACTCGAAGTGACAGGGGCACTGCTTTGCTATCCTGTAACAGCTTCAGCAGACCTGCGTCAGACCTCTCGCAAATGTAAATGCTGCTGCTGGCGTGTTGGAGATTGCAGCTGAGCTTCACAGCACAGACCAACCCAGAAGACAAGGTGACCTGAGATCTCATGCTGTCCAAGACAGCAGTAGTGCTCTTCAGAGACAGTTTTCTCGCATGTTCTCTGAAGTCCAGTCAGTTGTGCTCTCTTCCATAGGTGAATACAGACCTATTAGTTTTTAAGTTTCAAAAGCGTTGTGAAGCCAGAGCCATCAGAATGTGGTGGGGCTTTCAACATCCTCATTCTCTTATCATTACTTGTACTGAAGTTAGAACAACCATGTATCTATTTCAAAGAAATGAAAAACAACATTGGGTCTTCAAGCGTTAGGCCTTGGAGCTGGTTGGGTCAAAGTACATTAGTCTTACTGCTTTGTGTAATTTACTGCTTTATGTACTTACTGCTGTAAGTAAAATTTGCCAGTCTGATAAATGGCTTCTCTCATCAGAGAAAATCAAACCTTCTTAGCTCGTTTTCTGTTAATGTGTGTTCTTCCTATCAGGGCAAAGAAGCATTTTTTCATGAAAATGGATGCACACAACAACTGCTAGTGGCTGAAATTTATCTGTATACTTTACCAAAGATCTACAAGTAAATAATTTCATTAAAATTATTTTGTTCACAAGAAGAAAAGCAAGCTAAATATACCAAACTATTGATTCTAAATAACTCTATCTACTTGTGAAGAATAGTGACAGCTGATAGCAACAGGCTCTGGAAAGCAGATTCTGTACTATATATAAACTGATGTATTTTGTGCTTGAATTTGCTCCAAAGAGTGCAGCTCTATTGCCTGATGGATATGAATTATCATTTCCTTGAAACAAAAATGAGGATCATTTTGTGGAAGTCATGGAAGATTTGATATAAACTTTGGCCTGGGTATCTGTATCATAGCAGGTTGGAGTTTTCAGCAGTGCATTCGCAAATGTATATTGAATCAGGAAAGGCACTGATTTCCTTCATGTAGCAAACCTTGAAAGCCCTTGTGTTCATGTTTAAACCTTCCGTGAAGTGTTTGGTGTTCCCTATAACAACACCGAGGAATCTCCCTATTCCCTCTTTGCCCTGTGTTGTTTCTGTGTTAAGGTAGCTTTTTATAATAAACAGCTCCTAAGAGGAAAGTAACAATCAACTTCTAAACATGAAGAGTGTGAAACAAGATCCTAAATAGAGTAATGCAAACCTTGATAGTTGTTTAACTTCTGGTTTGTTACAGACTGTATCTCTTTAGGTGAGAAAAAGGAGAGGCAATTTAAATATAAAGCTTGTCTTCTGTGTTTGTCCACAGGTAAATACAAATAGGATATGAATTGGGAAATAGAGTTCCTAGCCTAGCTCATCAGAAGGTAATGCAGCTGATTTTCCTCCTCTGGAAAGCTCCTTCGTATGCAGAACTCTGTACCTTGGCCCTGAGAAGATTTCTTGATTAGGGAGCTTCACAGCACTTCTAATGTCTGCCATTGCCTTGTGTCCTTTGGAAGGATAGTATCTCCACAGAAATTGTACAAGTGTACAGAGATTAGACATGAGCATTTCTGGTTTTGAGTCGCTATAATAATTTCTGTGTCTGAGAGATCTTCCAAGGTTAGGGTAGTTGTTTGGATGGCAGGTGTCATGAATATCATGAATGACAGACACCCATGTTAGACCTCCAAAATATGTGGGGGTTTGTGACAACTCACAATAAGAAATATTCTGCTTCTCCAAGGTCTTGTCTAAATATGTGCAAGTCATAGTAACGCCATTTTGAAAAAAAGATGCCTCTCAAGGATAAATAGGAATGTAAAATATTAGGGATTAAAATGAGAAACAAAATATCCATTTTAGTTTATATAACAACTCTTTTGCCTTTTGGGGTCGTTTTTGGCTTTATACTAATAAAAATACAACTTACGGGAGACAGCCTATCAACATCTTAGTTGTACCTTCAGGAAAACAAAGTTACTGTAAGAATGGGAGGTTGATATAGCATAGATAGAATCCAGTTCTCATACAAAATGGCAATCAAGTTAAATATAGTGCCAGAGGTGGGCATTTACTTTTAAATGTGTATTTTCTAATGTGTACTTTACCCTCTTGCAGGAACATAAATAGGTAGTAGGAAGAGCGCAGCTGATGACAGAGCGCAGGATGGGTATCTATTTTCTTCTGTTAATTGTAGGGTTTTGCTGGGGGCAGTACAACCCCCACACCCTTTCTAAGAGGACATCTATTGTGCATCTCTTTGAATGGCGCTGGGAGGATATTGCTCTGGAGTGTGAACGCTATTTAGCTCCTAATGGATTTGGAGGAGTTCAGGTATGTCTGTTCCTATCAGTAGGTAGTAAAATTGCTACATGGATGATAATTTGTTTTTCAGAGAAAATGTTCAATTTTGTTCAAAATGTTCAAAGGACAGGTAGTGAGAAAGAAAAATAGAAATTGGTAATGGAAGTAGTAAATGCTGACAGATATATTCTTCAGCTATCATTGAGAAAGCATGACTTTATTTCATTGTTCCAAAGTGCACATTTTGCATTCTGTGCTATTACATTTAGATGAATTAGAATTGCATATTGTTGGCTAAATCTTTTTTTTTTTACTGCTGTAAAGAGTAACCTATGTTTATCTGCTTGATATTATTTAAATCGAGGGAAGCTCTTAAGAGCTAGATAAACATAAAATAGAACTATGACTGAAAAAATGGCTCTCAGAATAACAAAGTGCTGAAGGTTTAAATAATTAAGTATGAAAGGCTGCTATTTGTGTTCACCCAAACTGGCAAGTTTCTCTCTGTTAAGCAAAGTGTCACAGTAAGCCATTAAGAGACCCTTCTTTGTAGGAACCTGGTGTGAGCAGGCAGAAATGAACTGAACACAGGTTCTGGTGGGGGTGTGCTTATGTGAGTCTGTTCTGTCTGAACAACAGAGACATGTTCCTGTAGAACCAGTACTGTCAGATGGGTGGTGTAGTGTGGCTGGAGAACAGACACT